TGCACACGAGAAATGAGAGAGTGAAGGTAGTGGGAACACGAAGAAACGAAGGTTTTTATTCATAGACTCGAGCAATACTTCGAGCGGATAAAATAGGCGCCACTCTAAACTTTTCGAAAATATATACAAAATTATGAGGGTTCATCAGCATATGGAGGAGGGATAAAAAAAAGAGGCCGGCCGGCTGCCGGCTGGGCCCAAACAAGCGTCAGGCCCGGTGTCCTCTTGCGCCATATCGCGCGCGCTTAGGGAAGCTCGTGAACCACCTCGCGCCGCTGCCGCGCTACGTCTGCCCGCGCCGTGAGCTGCTGCTCGCCCTGCTGCTCTGCCCTCTGCCGCGCCCGTCTGGTTCGAATCCGCCTCCTGCAATTCCAATCCCAGAATCCCACATATCCTCGCTCTCGCCGCCGCCGGCACATTGGTTTCTTCCGGCGGCCGCAATCTGCACATATACCGCCATACCAGCCTCTCTCTCCGGTTTTGGTTAGCCTCGTTGTGCCTTCTTGACTGCACATCGAGGACGATGATTCTCACTTCCGTACATGCACATCTGTACTCTGGATTTGGTGTTGGACTCGAACTAACACAATGTGTCAGGGGGAAAAAAACAGAGAGGAAAAGATATGCCAAGGGATGCATGGCTTTAGCCTTTAGCCTGAGATGAGTTGTAGCAGTTGATCGATTGCCCGGTACTACCTAATTAGATTATCTCAGACCTATACTGTGCTGCAGTCCTGTGCGTATATTTTAGGTGCAACTCATCTATTTGCTACAGCTATATAGCTGGACTGCTGGAGTACCTGCACCTGAATATATAAGGTTCCCTCCTGCGTAAAGAAACGAAGGTTTTTTGTTTGGTTCTCCGTGGCGTTGGCTGCGGAGGAATGATGGGTAGGAACGGATGCCTGAAACATCGTGTCATCAAAGCGAAAAAGAATGTACAACTTGATTCTGAGACTGACCTCATGAGTCATGACAGACAGGCATGGCCGGCTGGGCTGATCGGACCAGAAGCCCAAAAATTAAGTCACGAAGAGTTCAGCCAGGAGCCAACCATGGGCCGAATTCATAGCATGGGCTGACAGCTGAAAGGCACCGGAACGGGCCAAGATGGTAGGTGAAGTAGCTTCAAATCTTGCCAGTAGCTGTAATGAATGATAGGTCCATTTGTAGTCCTCTTGACTGGTCCACTTCGTTATCTAATGCTCTGCAACGACGCTGGCTGCCTGAATTAACTCTTTCCTGTCTCTCGTTTTTCTTTTCCTGAGATGAATTCTCTTCCTGTCTGGGTGACAAGCTGCAGGAAGGAAGGAATGAAAGCCATCTTCGATCGATTTGTCCCTGGCTAAAAACAATAATACGCCTCTCCATGCAAAGTGCACGCAACAACAATCAAGCACTTGCTGGGCGGCCAAGTCCTGTGGTTGTTCATGTGTAGGTATTAGGTAAGAGCAGCTCATCTAACTCGAGCACCAAAGGCCAGGTCCATTATATACTACTACCACTCCATACTCATGTGTACCGATCTGAAAATTAATTAATAGCGGCCCAGATGTTGCGATCAGATGGAGAATTCAGGCTGCCCAATACCGTTATGCTAGCTGATCCGTGTGTCGCAATGTTTGCTAGTACTATTTGAGCATGCATTTTAGCCTTTTAATTAGGTGTGTCGTTGATAGTACTAGCAAGATCCTTTTTAAACGGTAGCAGCCCCCACAGAATTCGCGCGCACGTTCAGATCAGACGAAGCTAATGACTTCATCATGCACGCATGATCGGGATAGCTAGGTTGGTTGGTTCACCTGTCCATCGGTGAAGATCTACCCTGGAATGTTGCCGTGAATCTCACGACTACGACCTCGGATGATATATATTGTTTCTCTGTTTCCTTTCGCTTTCTGCACATTGTGCAAGATTTTAATTCGCATGGTACCATGTAGTACTACCTTTCCCTTTTTTTTTTTACCTTCTGAAAATAGCTTAATTAGATAGTACTGCTTTGCATTCTGAGATGTTGATGTTGGTACCCAACTCTGAATTAGTAGAGCCTTAGAACAATTCACAAAGTGTATATTGTATGATATAATCCAAGAAATGCATTGACAAGCATCCAAATTCAAGAAATGCCATCAATAAGTGTGAGTTTCAAGAAATGCCATCGTACAAACGATTTTGTCCAAAAAAAAAATACCTCCGCCGTTAAGGTTCCATCTATTCCGTACCGTTAAGTGCTATAGGATGAACAGTGTATTTAACGGCGTGGAATAAACGGAACCCTAACAACGATGTATTTTTAGGATAAAGTCGTTTATATGATGGCATTTCTTGGAACTCGCACTTATCGATGGCATTTCTAGGATTTGGACGTTTGTGAACGGCATTTCTTGGATTATCTCATATTGTATTGACGATACAACAACTTGGCAAGTGGGTGCAATATAGTAAAAAACTTGAGAATTAAACGCCCAAGTGTAAACATTCTAGTAGAAGAACTTAATAATTTAATATTCTGGTGCAACAACTTATTTAAGTATTTGCTGTTTTGGTTAACGGGTGCTAGGAGAGTTTTTTTTTTCACAATATCAATATGCCATCATATAGCAATCCCATGGATATTACCTTACACTACTAGAAAAATCATTTGTTGCCACGAAAAAAATCGTGGCATCAATACTAAAATTGTGGCAATACATACATGTTGCCACAATTGTAAAATCGTTGCTAGCCATGGTAATAGATAGCGTGGTAATAGGTTATTGCAATGATTTTTATTTTGTGGTAATAAATTTATATGTTGCCACGGAATGGATGTGGCAAAAAGTCATATTGCAACACTTTACATCGTTGTAATAAAAATTATTGCCACCACCCCATATGTGACATTAGTGTTACGTACCAAATTAAAAGTTCAAATATTAATCTATCATCCTATCTATTTATCTACTTATTTTTTTGATTTTGTGTCTTGGCTAGGATTCGAACCCAAGACCTATCCTTCACGCGTGCTCTCCTTTACCAACTCACCTACGCATCAATTCTGTTGGAAAATGCATATCGTTCCATTTGAGCCTAGCTAACTGAGATTTGAATCATAGATTTGAATATCTAAAAGATTTCAAATGAAAAAGTTATCACCTACAAAATTGTAGATCTCGTCGAGAGCTATAATTTTCATATAAAATTTGTCTCAATCCGTGTCCATATGAAAAAATTAAGTTAAATTATGAGACGATAATTTTTTTATTGCAACGAATTTGTTGATCGTGGCAACAAAAAAAAATAGTGAAAAGTACCATGTACTATATAAATTGCCACAAAAATTAAAATTGTGGCGATAGAACATGTTTTTTTTGCAACAGTACGATTTTTTGTGGCAATATCTCATTTTCTATTGCAACAAAAGTACTAAATAAAACAACAATGGTAGATCGTTGCAATAAAAAATAATTATTTACCACAGAAAAATTATCATTGTAATAGTATAATATATTGCTACGTATTATTTTTTATTGTAATAATTTGGTGGCAATAGCTCAATTATCTTGTAGTGTTATAATCTTGAATTTAATCTTTAAGAATTGTGTTGCACATCTAATTTGCGCCATTGGTTTGGATTTTGTTTTCACCTTCTTAAATCTCAACCGAAATATAATATTTTCTACATGGTAAAGTTTAATTGACTTTCAATTATTAGAATGAAAATTTAAATATGCTTACACAAATCTGCATTAGTATATTTGCAAAATAAGTATTTAAAATTTGAATCTGTATAAAAAATGCTTGGAATAATTAAGTTGCCACATCACTCGTCAGCTTATTGTAAAAAATCGCACATATCTTGCAAGTTGTTGCACTCGTACACTCATTTATAAAATTCTTACACTAAATTACACATGTTTGCTTAGTTGTTATACCAGGATGCTTATTTCTCAAGTTCTTATATCAAATTGCAACCACCTGCTAACTTAATGCACTGTAGATGTAATTTATTATTTTACAAAAGACCATCTACGCCGAGTGCTAGCCGATGGATCGAGTTGTAGCTATCAAATAACCATCTGAGTACTATGTGGGTGTTTAGACCTAGGGGTGTAAAGTTTTAGCGTGTCACATATGATATTATATAGGGTGTTGCATAGGGTGTTCCGGCACTAATAAAAAAATTAATTACAGAATCCGTCAGTAAACTGCGAGACGAATTTATTAAGCCTAATTAATCCGTCATTAGCAAATATTTACTGTAGCACAACATTATCAAATCATGGAGCAATTAGGTTTAAAAGATTCGTCTCGTATATTAGTTGCAATCTATGCAATTAGTTATTATTTAGCCTATATTTAATATTTCATGCAGACGTTCAAACGTTCGATGTGATAGGGCGTAAAATTTTGGGGTGAGATCTAAATAGACCCTATGTATTAAAGTGCACAATGAAGTTTAAGGTATAAGGGTACCAATCAAAGTACAATGGATAAGAAGGAACATAGTGCAAGCGATGGAGTTTTAGGTATCATGCAGGAGTAGCACACATGCAAGAGAGCTCACTTGCACTTTGTACAATAAATAAAATGGTCAAGAGTCCTACTTCAGATATAGTAAGAAAGGTGAAAATGTCACACATTACTGATGTATCCGTTGGTTAGGATCGAGATACTGCCATGGCCCATACCCTGCTCCCTGCATCGACGCAGTATACTCTGCATAGTAGTGTTAGTTACTACTCCTACAATTTCATTTGTTGCCACGTTGCGTACTGAACAGTGCACACACAAAAAGAAGCTGGTGCTTCTCTTCTCCCGGTCATGGTGGAAGCTACAGAACTTAACTACTCACAACTACCAACAGAAAACAATTGAATGCTTTTCAACAGAACAAAAAGAAAAGGATATCTTCCTCCTAGTAACAGTGTAACACACCATTCCCTGACGTCGCAGCAATGGACCAGCTATGCGGGTCCCTAATCCCATTCCATTCCCTATATAAGATGACCACTGCGTAGATCAGAGAAAAACACACACACACACACACAAAGGTTGCTACTACCACCATCTAGTCCTCCAGTACTCTGTGCATTGCAAGGAGAGCAGAGTAAGGCAGGATCCATGGTGAACTTGGTGGAAGCGCCGAAGCCGCTGGTGTACTTCCTCCTGAGGAGGGCAGGGCTCCGGCAGCACACCGTCGACGTCGACGGCGCCGGCACGGTGATCAGCTTCTGGATGCCCGAGGGCAAGGTCCCCAAGGACAGGGGCACCGTGCGGGACGTCGCGCCCGAAGGCGCAGCAGCAGCTGACAGCGGCAAGCAGCAGAAGGCGGCGGCGAAGCCCGCCGGCAACGGCAAGGAGAGGCCCGCCGTCGTGCTCGTGCACGGCTTCGCCGCCGAGGGCGTCGTCACGTGGCAGTTCCAGGTTTGTACGCACGCGCATGTCACGTCACGTCACGTCTTGGCATGCGGTGCTCGATGACGATCTGAAGATCTATCTGATCACGTATGTTTCGCGCGTGCATTATATATAGGCTGGTGTGCTGGCGAAGCACTACGACGTGTACGTGCCGGACCTGCTCTACTTCGGCGGGTCGACGTCGCCGTCGACGGACCGGTCGCCGGGGTTCCAGGCGGAGTGCCTCGCGGCGGCGCTGCGGAAGCTCGGGGTGGAGCGGTGCACGGTGGTGGGGTTCAGCTACGGCGGGATGGTGTCGTTCAAGATGGCGGAGTCACACCCGGACCTGGTCACCTCCCTCGTCGTGTCCGGCTCCGTCATCGCCATGACCGACTCCATCAGCGAGGCCTCGCTGGAGAGGATCGGCGTCAAGTCGTCGGCCGAGCTGCTGCTGCCGGAGACCGTCAAGGGACTCAAGGCGCTGCTCTCCATTGCCACCCACAGGAAGCTCTGGTTCCCTGACCGCATTCACAGAGACTACCTCGAGGTACCACTAATTAATTATACCATTGTTTAGCCTGCCTAATCTGTTCGTGTTTGTTGTGTACTTGTGTATGCTCAATCATATCAGTATAACACCACTGGTAGAGGTAGTGGCACTTCATTGAAATGCATGATCTGAAATTTGTGCACGCAGGTGATGTTCACCAACCGAAAGGAAAGAGCCGAGCTGCTGGAAGGTTTGGTGGTCAGCAACAAAGACGCCACCGTGCCCGTTCTGCCGCAGGTACGTTTGGCCACCGCCCCAGTTGACCTACCTGATTTATTGCTGCGCACTGTGCACGCTAATATGCTGTCGAGAATTCAATAGCATGCAACACCCTATAGTATAGTACAGAAGATGGGGTCATTCATGACAAATCGAAATACAGATTGCAAAGCAACGTGAATACGTGATCCTGTTATGTGGATCGACACTTAAAAAAGAGATGGAACTGGATTTGAAGCACTCATCAAGGGTGCTTGTTTGATGCACTTGCACATGCAGGCAAAATTATTAGTCAGAAAATTTAAAACTTCAGATAATATATATTATTGTGTCACACCTTTTCGTAAAAGTATGTCACACTTATTTCAGCATTATTATGGTTGGCAAGAATAAAGCAGGATAGGAGACATAATTTCCTTACCGTAGAATTGAACTTTGCAAACAGTAAAACAATGGCGCGTTGAATGCTCAGCGTGCTGCCTTCGGGTCATCGGGTGCTTGCAACCTCTGGGCCCTGGACATGGCTTATGTTTGGATGTTCTTTAGCCTAAAACGTGAAATTAAAAGCGGTTTCCTGATTCATTTTTAGCCTAGATCGAAATGGAACATAACCAGTCTCATGCTTCCTAAATGATAGTACTGCAACACATTCAAGTCTGAATCTATGGGTAGTATTCAACTTGATTTGCTGAAAACGACATGACAATTAATGGACATACTTCATATGGAAATTTCAGTTAGTAGCATCACGAACAGCGATATATGTTGAACAACTGCTTGAAGCCACATGCTCATATGATATCAAACTTATCCCTATCTCTGACAAGAGTTTTGCACTTGCATCGGCAGAAAATACTCCTGCTATGGGGGGAGAACGACAACATTTTCAACATTGAGCTCGCCATGACGATGAAAGAGTAAGTCACTCTAAAGAACTTTCAGAATTCAGCTCCACTGTGCACGAATTGAACCACATGAACTGAAGATACTAACTTGATTGCATTTTTTTTTCCGAGCATATGCAGGCAGCTCGGAGAGAAGGCAATGCTGCAGAGCATCAGCAAGGCAGGGCACCTGGTTCACATAGAGAGGCCCTGCGTCTACAACCAGCACCTCAAGGAGTTCCTCGCGTACGTCAACGCTGAATCCCCCAAGGAGACCGCCTGATTTGCTCTGAAGAATTGGAGTTCCACGCTCCTGAACTTTGTATTGGTTTGTTTTAGTTTGAAAAGACAAATATGTTCACGAACCGTAAAAACGCTTGTGCCTGGATTGAGAATTTGGGGACTCTGAATAGGTTTCAGCTGTTTAGATAAACTGTAATGTGAGAATGAGTCAACGTACCTCATAAATGAATCGATTTGTTTTGAACTGCTTTGTTCCGAAAGTTGAGTTACAATGCTAGAATTAATACTGTGCTTGAGCTGATCTTTTTCTTTCGAAGCTAAGATTTTTTTTTTGTTTTGTTTTACCCAATCTACTGACGACCTGAAGAACAGCATGTAAGCATGAAAATCATCCTCAGGATAAGAGGTTATACCTGCCAGAGTCGTCCAATGTCTTCTTGCACATGTAAATGCAGATGCTCTGCTCAAATAATATTCTGGTGCTTTTGGGCTTTTTGGTCATCCAATTAGCCCCTTTCCTCGACATCACCGGTAACTAACTAGGAGCATCTTTCGAACGCTATACCACCAAAAGTTCATTAGTATTACCCGTTCAAGCATAGAGGATTAACTAATCTGTCGAAAGACAAGTTCGTTTATTCTGCTCCAGGATATTCTGAATACTATATGCCAGGAGAAAGTTGGCAAGTCCCACACAACACAAACCAGCAATAAAAAGGGGAATTCGAGTTCTGCTTTTCCAGAATTTTGAGGCAGCTTTGTACTGAACGACTGATGGCTGATTTTTCATGAAAAGATGTTTTTTTTTAACCTTCTATGGTTCAATAAAATGTTAGCATCACCGAACGCAATATTTTGCTAAAGTCTCAATCATGCAAACCTAGAGTATGAGTATCAGGGTATCGACCGGATATTCTCCACAATATCCACAGTTAAATTCGTTAGTCCCAAGGAGAAGAAACCACTGCCTTTTGCGGTTTTGCCTCATCTTGCCCCATGTCAATTTCATCCCTTCACCCCACATGATAACTAAGCCCAAGGAGAATGGAATAGACACGATAAATTTATCTGCAGCCGCCACAACAGCTGCTATATAAACACCGAGTTGGTAATATCCTCGTATCACGACCAAAACGAGCATAAACCAGTAGGCAGTACAAGACACACACATAAGCCATGTGCACTGAGAACTACGACCCGTATTACCCCGACCGGCCGGTGGTCGATCAGTACATCCCTGTATGCGCCAAGCATCCCGGCCTAGGCTCCAAGCCCGCGTTCATCTGGGCCGACGACCAGGCCGGCGGCGGCAGCGGCGTGTCGCCGCGCGAGACGTTGACGTACTCCGAGCTGGACTCCGCCGTGCAACGCATGGCCGCCGGCCTACTCGAGGTTCTCAGGAGAGGTGACACCGTCCTGGTGCTCGCCTCGCCGGGAATCCGGCTAGTCAAGCTGATGTTCGCGTGCCAGCGAGCTGGGCTAGTCGCGGTGCCTGTCATACCGCCCGATCCGTCCGTGATCGGCACACCGGCCGAGGGCCCGGCTCACCGGCACCTCCTGCGCGCCGTGTCGCAGGCGAGGCCGCGCGCGGCCGTCGCGGACGCGGGCTATGTTGGTGCCGTGACGAGGTCGTCGATCTCGGCGTTGATGAGCCTGAATTGGGTGTCGGTTGATCGCTTGGAGAGATGGCCGGCGGTGGCTTCGACTGTGGCGGCCACCGGCGATGGGGTATACGAGGGCTGTGGGCCGAGGGAGACGTACTTGGTGCAGTACACGTCGGGCGCGACGGGTGACCCGAAGCCCGTCGTGGTCACGGCGGGCGCCGCGGCGCACAACGCGCGCGCGGCGAGGAAGGCCTACGACCTCCGCCCCGGCAGCGTCGTCGTGTCGTGGCTGCCGCAGTACCACGACTGCGGCCTCATGTTCCTCCTCCTCACCGTTGTCTCCGGCGCCACGTGCGTGCTCACCTCCGCCTCGGCGTTCGTCCGGCGGCCCCGCCTCTGGCTCGAGCTCATCTCCGAGTTCAAGGCCACCTGCACGCCGGTCCCGTCGTTCGCGTTGCCTCTGGTGCTCAGGCGCGGCCGCTCGGAGCACGGGACGCGGCCACTCCAACTCCAGACCTTGCGGAACCTCATCCTCGTAAACGAGCCAATCTACAAGTCGCCCGTTGACGAGTTCCTCGAAGAGTTCGGCCCTGCCGGCCTACGGGCGTCGTCCATCTCGCCATCGTATGGGCTGGCAGAGAACTGCACATTCGTGTCAACTGCGTGGCGCGGCACGGAGGTGACACTCCCGTCGTACAAGAAACTTCTGCCGTCGGCCAGGCTGCCGCAGCCGTCACTTTTGACCGAGGCGCCGGATGTCGAGATTGTCGTTGTTGATGCAGAGACGGGGAAGCTGGTGGAGGACGGCGTCGAGGGGGAGATATGGCTGTCCTCGCCAAGCAACGGGTCGGGCTACCTCGGCGACTCGCCGGCGAGCCGCGAGGTGTTCGGCGCGAGGCTGCAGGGGAGAGCCGGGCCGTGCTTCGTGCGCACCAGCGACCTCGGCGTAGTCCATGGAACGGAGCGGTATCTCTACGTTCTCGGCCGGACAACAGATGCCATTGTTGTAGCCGACAGCCAGCGCCGCGTGCCCGCGCACTACATCGAGACGGCCGCCTTCGAAAGCTCGCCGGGCCGCCTGAGAGGCGGCTGCATAGCCTCGTTTACCACGCTACCTGTGTCACCTTCGCCGGTGGTGGTCGTGGCGGAGCTGCAAAACGGGGGAGGCGGTGGGGATATGGCTGGCATCTGCCACGGCATAAGGCAAGCCGTGTGGAGAGAAGTAGGCGTAACAGTTGCGCGTGTCGTGCTAGCGGAGAGCGGCGGGGTGCCAAAGACTACGTCGGGGAAGCTGCAACGTGGGGCGGCGAGGGCGAAGCTGCTCGCCGGCAAGCTCCCTAAGGTTTTCGAGGCACGATATGCCGGATTGGAGCCCGCTGCTGGCGTTCTTATGGTCAAGGAGAGTGCAAGCCGTTGGGCTCGGCTGCAATCTCCTCTTTGATGTCCGTTTGAATAACTTGGAAACTTTCCAGCTATTTTATGCACTGAAATCTGCGTGACTAGTTGCAGCAATTGAGATCCTCCGCTGCACTGGATGTGGAGGCATATGAGCTCGAGGGTATATGTGATCCACATGTTAGCGAGCAGTACTGCACACATTCTGTACTGCAGAAGACCGTCTTCATAGTTACAAAGCTTGCAGCTACCTGTATATATGCACTGCATACATACACAAGACATGCTAGTGACGAAACTACACCCTGGAGTACAAATTCGGTTAATCCAAAAAAAAAAGAATTACAGAGGATTTATTTCATACCTATTTTTTTGCAGAATTGTTCCTCCTTAATCTCCTTCGAACCGAATAAGACCTAACAGTGATGTAATCCATGTCTATCTACTGTTACTATATTAGAGTAATTCCAAAAATACCATTGACAAACGTTCAGTTTTATGTTTGCCATAGACAAGTGAAAGTTTCGAGAAATACTATTGTCGGGAAATGGACCCCGATTGCAGGGATATGGCAGGACCCCTTTTAGTGTGTTTTGCAGGGAAGCTACTTGTGAATATAGATGGCCATAAAGCCCGCCCGGCCCGGGCATGGCTAGGCATGGCCCACCAGCCATCGGGCCGGCACGGCCCGGTCGGCACTTCGTGCTGGCCTGTCGGGCCGTGCCGGCCCATGGGCTGCACCTCTGGCCCAGGCACGGCCCACCAGTAGTCGGGCCGGGCCGTGCCGTGCCGGCCCAAAGGCACGGGTGGTCTATCGTGCCTTTTTAAGTAAGTCTATTTTCCCTCCCTCCTTTTTGGGCTATAACATAAAATGAGTCTATTTTCCCTCCCTCCTCTTTGGGCTGACATATATATAGCTAAAGTAAGTCTATTTTACATCCCTATTCTTTGGACCGTGGCATATAATGTCTATTTTTACTCCCTACTCTTTGTGTGTCGGGCCTGGCCTGCCGACCCATTATGCCGTGCTGGGCCGGCCCAACGTGCCGGTGGGAGGGGGCCTAGGTACGGCCCGGTGGTCGGACCGGGCCGGCATGGGCCCGACCCGTCGGGCCGTGCCGTGCTTGGGCCGGGCAAAAATGCCATGCCGTGGGCTGGGCTGTCGGGCCTTTTGGCCATCTATACTTGTGAATGAGTAAGAGGGTTAGATGCTCCTCCTCCCCCCCCCCCCCCCCCGAAAAAAAAACTTCGCAAAGATTCTAGAACATATGAACACGAGGGGTTATACATGTTTAGGACATCCGAAGGTATAGTACCCTACCACTTTTCTATAAGTTATTTGTAAGGATCTTATAAGCTTATCGACTACACAGAGTAGTTCACCTTCCTTTCTATTCTGAGTTTCCTAAGAACTTAGACTAAACGTGTTAGTTTATCCTTGTCCACCTAGGATGTAATCCCCTCTCCCTTAGTCCCGATTCTTCCCTTATACTTGCTCCGGGAGACACCACATGATCGAAATTCGAGGAAAGATTTTATTCATATCTTATTAAGTACGTAAAGTCTTGTCAGCAACTCCTATTTCTTTCCAACTCTGCCAGCCTCAGGGCTGACCCTAGCGAGGCCTGCTGTGAGCTGGAAACTATAAGAGCTTGCCACACTAAGGTTGTGTTCCATCAAAGTAGAAAGGGAGTAGATTTATCATTTTTTTTATGCGCATGCTTCCCGAACTGCTAAACAATGCATTTTTTACCAAAAAAAATCTATAGAAAACTTGCTTAAAGGATTAGGGATTTAGGTTGGGTGTGGTTGATAGGACATTTAAAAACTATAAAAGAAAACACCAATAATGGTTAGGTTTGATATTAAAAATCCTAGTGATTATAAAGAGGAGGTGCGGTCGGCATGCCATAAAGGAGTAGAGTTGCTATAGTTGACGAGACTTCTTGAAAGTGGAAAAAAGGAAATCCGATGGTGATTAGTTTCGAGTTTTAAAATACCAATTACAATAAAGAGGGGAGATGTGGGAGTGGGTGAGCTATAAAGGAGTAAGGTGTTGGCGTTTGATGTAACTTCTAAAAACTATAAAACAGAACTCGACATGACAATGAATTTTAAGAACTCAACTATAAGGTTCAGTTTTTTCAAGGATCGGGCAATATCACACCCTGCCCTGGCACCACCTAACAGCAACACCTAACAATGACACTAGAGGTGTGCCATAGGAAATCAGTGCGAACCGACTCCCATGGAACCGCGATGCCAGTGGCAGTCCCAGGACACAATGCTGGAACCCACGGTCACTTGAGATACATCATTTCAACTAAACATAATATAAATAGATTACCCTATAGGAGGTCACACCTTCGAAGCAATTCCTAGAGTGTAACCAGCAAGCAAAGAAGCAACAACGGAACCTAGCGTAGCTAGACCAAATCCACAAGCAAGTCATGAGGAGGGAAAAACGATGATTGAGTACATATGTACTTAGCAAGTCATGAGAAATATCAGTAAGCAGGCTACAAAGGAGGGCTTGATTTGTTGCGCAAACTTTTTGAAAACATTTTTCAAAATACTGTGTGGGGTTGTTTACCATGTGTCAAAAAGAAGCTTTCGTCTCAACCCTATCCGTGAGTTGCTTTGCAACAACTCAAGCAAACGAAGCAAAATTTTAGTTAATTAAAATTATTCTGTCAGTTGTCCCACTATGACACCGGCCCATATCCTTCTACCCATCGGTAGCTCCTAGCTCATTTCCCATCGATTAGTTTCTTTTTCACTTTTAAATTTTAGCTGAAGAGAGGGAGGGAGATGAAGGAAATGGCGCTGCTGCCTGCTGAGGTAGATGGAGAGGATCGAGGATGGCTATGTGCGATGGATACCTACGCATCTTGCTGCGTGCCACTACCATCAAAGGAGGTAGATGCAGTGAAGAAGAGGGGAATCAGGAGAGCTACAGAGATGGAGAGGAAAGGTGAATGGGAAAGAATATGCAGCACAACAGCGGATCGATCGGTATTCGGGGCTCGGGAAAGAGGAAAGAGATAACCTGAGAAAAGAGATGGATTAGGATTGACACAAGAATGGGCCGGTTGGGCCATTGTCCTTTTCCTTTCGGCATCATCTCTTTTAGAAAAAAGTACACCCAAGGTCCCTCAACCTGTCATCGAGTTGCAAAATCATCCTCCAACCGCAAAACCAGATATCCGGCGTCCCTTAACTAATCAAAACCGGTCACACAATAGGTCCTTCGGTGGTTTTGACCCCGGTTTTGTCCTACGTGGTGGCTAAGTCAGCATGGGATTCGCGTGGGGCCCACATGTCAGGATGCCACGTCATCCTTCTCCCTTCCTCCTCTCTCTCTCACACTCTTCTCTTCTCTTCTCCGAGCAAGCCGGCCGGTGGCTGGGGAGGAGGCCGCCGGGGATAGGCAGGAGAGGGGGAGGGCGACGCTACGACGGCGGCGGTGGCGACAGCCCGATGAAGAGAAAGAGGCAGCCAAAGATGGGGAAACACGGTGGCAACCTGACGCAGGAGAGATCCTAGTGGTCGACATTGAGGTCACGGAGGGACTTGACGATGGGGACGAGGTCGATGGCAATGGAGGCGTTCTTGCGAATGGAGTAGGCGAGGAGGAGAGGTCATCGGTGGAGAGGCCGAGGAGGGGAGCTCGACGTCCTCGAGCTCACCGGCGGGGTCGGAGGAAGTCGAGCGCGAGCACGCGGGAGACAAGCCGCTCCTTCCTTCCCTGGATCACACCTGACACCCCACGTCATCGACGACATCTCATACTGCCTTCGAGGAGAGCGGTGCCTCCATCGCCCCCATCACCGTCGACCTCGCCTCCTTTGTCAAGTCCCTCCGTGACCTCGACGTCGACCTCTAGGACCTCTCCCGCGTCGGGCTGAAGGGTGTCGATGGGGAGGCGCGGGCGTCGTGGGCGGCGGGAAGGCGCGGGCATCGACGGGGCGAGGCGGGAGAAGAGGAGGACGGCGCCGTGATGGCCGGCTGTGGGGAAGCATGGTGGCAGCCCGGCAGAGGTGGGGATCGGCGAAGGAGGGAGATGGCAGAAGGGGAAGGGGAAGGGTGGAGGGAGTTCGTCATTGTCGTCGCTGGCGAGGTGGGGGTGATGGTGGTTGCGTGTGGTGGAAAAAGGCCACGGGTGTGATGACGACCATCTCAACGTCGACCATCCCATAGTTCAGCCGCTCCACGCCGTTGGGAGGAAGGCGGATGGAGACTTGGTTGCTGCCGCCGCTCTCCCTTGAGCGTTGACGCTTGGTCGAGATCGAGCTCGGTGACGCTACCGTCGCCACCGCCGCCCAGCTCGTCCCTCGCCGCCTGCCGCCCGCGCCCGCCGCACCTGCCGCGCCTAGCACCTGTCTGCCAGTCGCCGCCCGTGGAGAGAGGAGGAGAGATGAGAGAAAGAGAGGTGGAGAGGGGAGGGGAATAAGAGGCTGATATGTGGGGTCCACGTCGGTCCCACGCTGACTCATGCGCCACGTAGGACAAAACCGGGGTCAAAACCACCGAATGACCTATTGTAACCGGTTTTGATTAGTTAAGGGATGCCAGATATCTTGTTTTGCGGTTGGTGGAAGATTTTGTAACTCGATGACAAGTTGAGGGAGTACTGTTTCCTCTCTATCCAAGGTTGGTGGAATAGGCCCATCCGAGAGGTTCCTGGCCCATTAAAATTTTTCAAGGCTTTTAAATACAATTGAATATTTATCATGAGTGACTATCTTAGGGGTACTGTTGCATAAATATATATATCTATACATGCATCTGTTAATAGTTTCACAAGATTTTACAACCAAATGGTCCATACAAATGTATTTCTAGAGATGATTTTTAAAACATCAAATATGGTTTACTTTGTTAGCGTGTCCCCCTATTAGTTATGGAGATAATTAAGAGTTATGGAGATATTTAAGAAAAGAAAATCACATAGTGTCTATCACAGTATATTTTTGTTTTATATCATGGGATGCGACTCCTCAGTTAATCCCGTAACAACGTACGTGCATCATATAGTAGTTGAACTAGCAGTAATAATTATTTTTAATAGAAACATGCAATAAAATTCACATGTTAATTGAACTAGAAATAATAATTTTTTTTATAAAAAACTACAACAAAATTCTATTGGTCCCATAACGATGTACGGGCATTCGGCTAATACTAATATAAAAGATGGTAGTCCACCATCACCACCCAACTACCATATGGGATCCATAAACTATGAGACAAAACTTTGCTTATCTTTTTTAGCCACCTGTTGACGGTCGTTAGCGAACGGTTTCGACCGTCAATATTACTAAAATAGAGGAGAACTAGTTATGCTTGTAATGCATATTTATGTTAGAATAATAATATTCTACTAGTATTTGGTTCACTAATCTTTTGCAGAGAATAACCATAAAGTGGAGAAGAATCGACATCAAGTCAGACGATAAATCAATCGGACAATGTCGACTATCAGACTTATGTATGAATGGGCCAAGAAC